CCGCGTGTGTTCCCCCCGCCTGCAGCACCAGAATGGGATGTATGGGCTGCACCAGGACGTGCACCACTTCAACTCCTTCGACAGCGTACAGAGCCTGCCCCGGCTGCTCAGCCAAGCACGCGTGCGGACAGGTAGGGAGCCTGGGGCAAGTGACACGGGCAGGGAAACACCCCCCCGCCGTGCACTGAACCCCCTCGGGCGAGAGAGCTTGACAGCTAACCTGCCTGCGAGCTAGACAGCACCAACCAGACCCGTGCCCACGCTCCGTGCTGGCGCCTGGGTTTCACTTTGCTTCTCCAACCACTGCTCCCCTGCCACCCTCGTTACACCTCACTTTCACTTCTGTTCCTCGTCCCGCTCCTTCCTGGTTCCCAGGTTCACACAAGGCTCATGCTTGACCCAAACTTCCGCCCAGGCCGCTCGGCTGCGCTAGCATTTACCCATGCCTGTGACCTGGGGCAGAGCGGACCCCGGGTCGGTCCCATTTTCTGAGCAGATGTGGAAGTGCCTCTGCAACCAGCAGAAATGACTGGAGAAGCCAGCAGCATCTTCCTCTTTCACCAGTGTTTGCTGGGCGCAGCCCCCCAGGGAGGAGGCGTCCTGCCCCTGCTCCCCGCTGCTCCTGGCACACCGCGTGTCTGCGTTCTTGCAGGGATAATCGGGAAGAAGCACGTTGGGCCCGAGGCCGTCTACCCCTTCGACTTTGCCTACACAGAGGAGAACAGTTCGGTCTTGCAGGTTGGGAGAAACATCACTCGAATCAAAGCGCTCGTGCGGCAGTTCCTGCAGAGCCAGGACGAGAGGTGAGATGGCCCGTGTCCCTGGGCGGGCTGCGAGGGGCCACGGGAGAGGAGAGGGAAACCGGCCTCGCTGAAGTTGTGTCTCCATGTCCCAGCTGGTCACAAATAGGAAGGGACACCCTATCTGTGGGTCACTGCAGACCCAGAAGCCCAGGTTAGGTGGGAGTCCTCCTGCCGAGCCCAGCTCACCCTTGCACAGCCCAGGGTTGGTCTCGGGGGGCGTGGGCAGCCCTTTGCTACACCACCTCCACCCTCTCCATCTCTAGGCCTTTCTTCCTCTACGTCGCCTTCCATGACCCCCACCGCTGTGGGCACTCCCAGCCCCAATACGGGGCCTTTTGTGAGAAATTCGGCAATGGAGAGAGCGGCATGGGCTGGATCCCAGACTGGAAGCCACAGCTCTATCGCCCAGAGCAAGTGCAGGTGGGAGCCTTTGGGGCTGCGTGGGGCGGTATGGGGGCTGCGTGGGGCGATATGGGAGCTGCGTGGGGCA